GATTTGATCGTTAAGCAGAACACGAAACAGGCGAGTGAAGTTTAGCACTTGTGCATAAACGATATTAACAAGAACCGTACCAATACCGGCAAACTTTCTGTCTTCAAAATCATAAATTCATGACTTTCTGACAATGCATGTAATTTTACTATTAAGTCAAATACTCAATAATATTGTATATTTCGTAAAGCGTCGGATCTAGCCTGCCGGACCCAAACTTTATATACGTTCACAGCCAAATTGTGGTTGTTTCTCATCAACAGATTAGTCTTGTTATATTCAGGATTGAGCGATTTGTATTTAGAAATTTGGAGTTTTATTACTGATACTCTTCGTATTTATATGTTTACAGCGAACAATTGATAATTGTCTGTATTACACATCCGCCAGTTAAAATTTAAACTTGGATTCATTTGGCGATATGGTACTTACAATGCCATCAATCATATGATCGATACTAGTAAAAAAATAGTTACCAGTTATAACGAAGAGGGGGGGTGCTATTAGTATTAGTAAAAATACTGGAAAATTCGGTTTAAACGAGGTTTACATAGTAAATTCGGTTTAATGGGATAAAATCGGTTTGACCCCGATATAACTTAGTAATCACTTAGTGCTTCGTTATAACGGGGTTGCCTTTGTATAACGAGGACTCTTTAGTATTTATCCGCCGCTTTTACCATGCATCCGCTGCTTTCACCGCGTTATTCCGTCATATACCGCTTTCCCCGTAATAATTAGGATTGTTATCACGGTTATTTAGGTTAATTTTTTGATAATCGAGCCGCTTTTGAATTACTCCGGCTGTAATAATACCGTTCGGATTTTTTTTAAGAAAATTAATATTAACCTGTACTCTTTACTGGGTCTTGTGTGAATCCATAAATATTAAGAAATCGTTGTATCAAACACTTGCAGAAATTAATTGTCATGAATACACCCAGCTTCGCCACCTTCGAGACTTTCCCTACGATTACATAAAGGCGTGTGTAGGGCAAGCTTGCATGCTCTTCCGCCCCATTCTGTCGCAAGATGGAATTTAGCGGCCTAATGTTAACTAGGCGCTTTCTCAGAAAAAATTATACGGAAAAGACTGAGTTATTGTACTCCAAGGGAATGACTTTGCTCTAAATCACTTAAAGAAAGTTCATTCTTTCCTAATTTTTGGAAATAAGATTTAGTTGCTTCAGTTTCAGTAAAATAGAATAAAAATAATTGATTCCAGAAATAAACTATACAAATCCGCATTGGTCTAGTGGCTAGGATTTCGCGCTTTCACCGCGACGGCCGGGGTTCGATTCCCCGATGCGGAAAAGATTTTTTTATTGCAATTGATCATCAGCATTGTAGTAACACGATTATTCGACTAGTTTTAGCCATCCAAACGTAACACTGTTCAAGTCGAATTACTTGATGCTGGCCAGTAAAGGAAAATTAGGCTCAGAAACTTACATCTAATAACCAAAATTAAAACGTGTCTCTGTTGAGATGCATCAAATGTTTATTCTCTAAGCCCGTATACAACGCAATTGAATAAATAAAAATAATGCTCTGCTCGAATTCTTGATTACGATCAAATTAATTTACTAATCATCAAGCATGCTCGCATAATCGTCAAAGCTAGCAAATGTAGGCAGATGTTTCAACTTTTGTCGTTTGTTCTTGCTTTTACCTATAAAACGGTTCAGTGTTAATCATCGTAGCAGTAGCAATTGTATTGACAGCAAAACTGTTTACCTTTTGCATAATTAGATTGTGATTCAGCAGCGTCCACTTTTATCTTTGCACGCTTATCCTTTGTAAATTTGCTGCTAACTCCAACATCGATTTTATCTTCATTTTCATCATCTTCATCGACCTCAGCTTCATCAACTTCATCTGCATCACCTTCATCTGCATCACCTTCGTCTTCGTCCTCCTCATCCTCCTCATCCTCCTCCTCGTCTTCCTCTTCTTCTTCTTCCTCACTATTATCATCTTCCTCATCACCTTCATCGTTAATATCTTTCTCACTACCCTCGTTATCCTCAAGATTTACAATATTTTCATCTTCGCTATTATCGTCACTAAAGTCCATATCCATATCCTCCAAATCATCTTCATCCTCGTCATCATCGACGTCAACATCTACTTCAGGTCTGTCAGCAACAATAGCCCGCCATATTTCTTCTTCTTCCTCCGAATCTGTTTCTTTATTATTATCCGCGCCTTTTCGATCCTTCTTCTTTCGAGTTGCTCCTTCAGACGACAACTTATGTGTAAAGTATTTATGGAAAAATATCTACGAAAAAAGAAACCCCCAAAAAACAGAAAATATACGAGGGTTAATCGTACAGTTGTAAATCGTTATCAAATCCTCCACCAATCTTTTGGCTTTCAAACATACCTGGTCGACAGGCACGTCTTCAATCTTTTTTCTCCAGAATTCTTCTGAATTAACATTGACATTCATACTCGAATTTGTTGGTGCTTTCCTCGTAATCGAAGTTGTCTCTTTCACGTCCTTCTTTTTAGGATTGCGGTAGACGAATCTCTCCAAGAAATGTGATAGCGTGTGAAGTTGAAGATCCGGCTCGGCAGTATTTTGAATTCCGTCTAAAAGTTGTGTTGCGTATAGAGATACAGATGGATGAAAGTGGTCTATGAACGGGCACTGTAAAAGGGGGAAAAACAATAAAACAAGAATAGAGAAGCGTTGATTAGGGGAGGTAACTCGAAGAGCGGAAGAAAGAGAAAAAGGTAAAAAGTGCGACTTACTAATTCCCAAAGACACGTTTTGTCCGCGTTACTATACTGAGGAGCCCTTTTATGAGGGTCGTATTTCAAAGAAGACGAGTCAGAGGGGACGGTTGACTTGCTTACATCGGTCGTAGTTCGTTTCTTTGATTTTTTACTTTTCGAGTCCGACACAGTATCATGGTCATCACAACTCTCTGGTTCAAGTATCATTGCTTTTAAACCCGGCTTTTCGTGAATAAGCTAATAACGCATGATAAACCTCATTTTAATACAATTGCCGATATTAAGCGTCAATCAAAAAGTCTCCCGTAACCAAATTTTATACCTTTGTCAATGATATAAATACACCACAAATAAACGGCGGTTCATGATGAGCTGCTGTTTGTACTATTCTTTTTACAAAGGCCTTCACTCTTGCTAATAACTTGTCAGCCTTGAGTGCCTTGAAGAGTAGATTCATATACATTGCTTGTTTCGATGTTGTTATTAAACGTGGGTCTAGTAGCGATTCGTATAACGTGCGGTAAAAACGATCTGTTACTGACTGTAGGAGAATACTAGAATATTAGCCTATATTAGATTCGTTCGCTATATACAAGGATTACATTATCAATACATTATTTTTTTTTACCTCTTTAACAGAACTTATGTGAAATATCAATATAAGCGCTTGAATGCTTATGTTGAAAGTTCCGCTGTACGTGATTCGAAAAAGCGTATCAATGTTTTTGTCGTATCTGTTTCAGCAAACAGACAATATTAATATACCAATCCTAAACCTGCAACGCATCTAATTTAGAAAAATAGATGTACTTACAATTTATCGTCAATTTTTGCAAACGAAAACGCGCGATTGACACCAGTCAATACAGCAGCAAGTATCTTTGAATTCAATGACTCTTCTTCAACGTGAAGACTTTCTTTATTTTTGCTATTTTTCGGTTTCTTTCCCTTACTCCCAGACACTTTCCCTTTCACGTCCTTTTCCTTTTCCTTTTCCTTCTTCTTTTTCTTCTTATCAACTTCTTTATTGTTTGCATTGATACCCAATAGCTTTCGAAACATTGCAAAGTAAATATCAATCAGCTTGTTGGCTACATCGACTTCCTTTTTGCTTAGAATCATCTGACTCAATGACAAAATCCCGTAATATTGGGCATGTACATTAGCATTTGGAAGAAGGATCAATTGTTCTATCTCGCGCACAACAAATATTTTCATGTTTGGGTGAACTTCTAGCAATTTCTGAACCAGGAATTGCGTCTTTGACGCAATTTTCTTATCCTGATCGCCCTAAATAAAGTATACTTATCGTTAAATCGTTCCGTAATACAGTTGTCTGTTGTTTTATGAATAAAAAATTGCGCAATACCAGTTTATTGATAAATAACTTGAGGAGATTCTGTTCTTGTTCGGGTTTCTCTCTCAACAGTTCAAATATAAATTCGAGCATTTGCTGACGAACATGTACCAACACGTCATGTGAAAGAGCCTGCATCCGTAGCGTTTTACTTAGTAAAACTAGTGATGATTAAAACATTATGCGGGACCAAATCTTACCTCTATAACGCGAATCATCTCGAAATAGCACGTCTTGAGATGGTTCTCAAAAGCCCAAATTATTAAATGCGACGATGTTACCTTGGGATCGCCAAGAGGCTGATCACGAAAGTACCTTTATGTAAAATCAACGCAAAATTCAAAACTTGGCCATCTAAAAAACCCCCTATGTCTGACCCGTTTTCTTACTTTAATTTCCTATCCGGTAACAAAGTCTCGATCATCAAATTCTTCATACTCTCTAGCGCCAATAAGGCCTCATGCCGACTCTTTTTCCTCACCATTCCCATTAACATGTCTAAAGATTTAACGGTATGAACTGCAGATTCATCTATTAAAACGGACAATGTCGAGATTTTATCTTTTAAGGTCCCTGATTTTAACATGGATGAATAGAACGAGCGATCAGAGGCGGACAATGTGCTGGTTTTTTCATACAATGTGTTTTCTTCTTGTAAAAGAGATTCCGCGCGAGTCTGTAATGTAGTAAGGGTATCTGACGTGGCAGAATTTTTCGATACGGATTGGGAGAGGAGAGGAAAGGCGATTAGATACCATCTCCGTGTGGGTTGAATGTGTAGGGATGGCATTTGGAATATTGAATCGATGTGCGTGCCGTGTGTGCGATTAGAAGAATAGATCAAACAAATTTTAATTATGCCACGCCTCAGATTTAGGTTTTAGTTTTTTTCTTCTTATGCCCACGCCTCAGATTTAGGTTTTTTTTTTCTTCTTATGGGCACGTGATCGGGAGACAATCGTATCATCGTGTATTAATATAGAATTCATGGACGTAAGTAACCAATTTTATCAAAACTTGGATAGAGATATATTAATATGGAAGAGTAAATCGTAATGGTCAGCGTTGCGCTCCTCCTGGGCCAAAACCTGCTATTCACTAATCGTCTAGCTAATTCATCGGAACGATCATGCCCACTTTCTATCAAGCCGTGAGGTGTGTGCGAATCTTTTCTTACCCAGTTCAATGAACTTTGAGCGATGGGCGATGTATACAAAGAGACGATATTTGATTTCTGATTCAGTTTTATTTGTTTTCAGCAAAAGGCATTTGCCTCTAGTTAAAATGTCGGGAAACTACCATTTAGATTTTAACAGCTCGCAAGTTTAGCTGATTTCAAAAAGAAAACGCTGGGAATGTTTTGCAACTCGTTCCCGGGTTAAACAAAAACAGGACGAATATCCAAGTAACTAAATTCTTCTTTTCTTTCTGAGCTCTATTTCACAATCTTAATAATCTGACGGATTGCATTTTCGAAACTTGACTTATTATATCCAGTTACCATGACCATCTATAAAATACTCACTCAGTCTCTTGTCATGATTAAACCAGATTTTCTTTGTAAAACTGCTTGGGCTCAACTCGGCTAACGCCAGATTACGACCATCGTAGACTCGTTACGCTTTCCGAACGAAAGCAGCCGGACTCGAAATAATTAGAGATAATGACCGTTGGCATCCTCATATGATTTCAATGTATACACCGGGGATATCAGGATGCATGCGGAAGTATGTTCGAGTTTCGTTTTTGTTTGTCTTTGTCTAAGGCAAGACATATCTGCATCTTTTTGCATTTCGCATTTGCATTTGCATATTTGCATTTGCATTACATCGAAGATCAATTTTTATTACTTAATCATATGAGCCAATGCATTGCATTCACGCATTAGGAAAATCATTCAAACTATTATACAATGTTTTGGATGGATGATGTATAGTATTCTTGGTTCCCGTTTAACAATCAGCTATACTTTTTTGTCGCCATTATATTACGAGGTACGACTTTAACTTTTCATCGTCAAATAGTACCTAATCATTTTATTGGTACTTGGAATTTGAGTCATCTTCTTTTCAACGTCATAAGGTTTACTCAAACGTGGTACTTCTTATTTAAGTCCCATTTAAGAGTCCACAATCAATAACTACTCTTGATATTTTCTTTTCGGTTCACCCCCTTGTTACAGTCAATTATACGCAATGAAATACCCACATGTTAATTTATCAATTCAAAATTTTAAGACGATTAATATTAAGCAGGTTTGGCATCAGAATCAGCGCGGGTCCTAGAAGCTAAACATATCGGAGTAAGACTTGTGCATATTTAGCAATCAACCCGATTATTCGATAACCATGAAATCTGCATTCCGAGCGGAATAAATGTCCATTTGCTCCGAGTTATGATAAAGCACTGACCAATATACCACGTCCGACTGCGCCCCAACATTATCCCAACAGTGGGATAGTGGACGACACACTTATCGAACACGTATATCTGTTCTATTATTATCTTCGTAACAATTATAAGAAAATAAACAATGAGATAAGAATAGTAAGATTGAAAATGGAATAATCATAACGAACACATTTTTAAGTTAGTACGTGTGAAACGTTACGGCTTCCTCTTTGTTGTTGCATATTTGTCTAGCCGCGATCAACAAGGCTATCCTATGACTTTGTTTTTTCACTTTGTTCAGATACTTTTACTGTACTGTAATCAGTATTTCATTCGTCATAACAATCGCCAACGTTCTTTTTAATAATACATACATATGGTTTATCTTAATTATAGTCTATATAGTAATTAGATTGTCTTATAATGTCCCTGAAGAAAGAAAATACAAAGCAAAACAAAACCGCAATCATACCGTATTCTATAATCATCTATGTAATTGTCTGTGATGGGTAACTTGTATGAGTGACTGGTTCGTTGATCTTTGATTTTGGCTCTTCAGTAAGTGCTAATTTACCCCCGCATTTTTCATTGACCTCGGTTGCCCATTCGTCCAAATCTGCCATGTTGAAGCAATCCCTTATTATTACCGATCTTAAAACCGGAAACGAAGCCGATGTCAATTCCTTAGCCATGTCATTAATTACATTGTAACACCAATCAAATACTATCACTTCAATGCTCGTACACTTTTGTAAAGCTCCAAATGGCTTTTCGTATGTCGCAAAATTAATACTACGAAACTCCATTAGTCTTAATGTCTTTGACAGTGACATCATGCCAGCATTAATTACAGCAAAAAATCTATTAAGTCCTGGCGGTGGTTGCACAATCAATTCAGCTACTTCATTCTGTTCAAGCATTACAGCAAACGGACGATGTTCATCGTCAGCTCCTCTGTCTTTCATCCATGCAGTAAATATTAGTTCTATTCTTTTCTAATTAGTTAATAGGAGACAGATTAATTAATACAATCCCTAACGAAAACACAACAAAATTTTTTTCTAAATAAAAAAATAAACTCATTTTGTACAAACGTCTCTTCAAACAACGTTTGTACGGGTCTCACATACCAAATTTTTAAAAGATCCAGGTAATTTTTCATGAAATTTAACAAAAAACGCTGGTGTTCTAATATGCAGCTTCTTTGTTTTTACTAGCAATGGAGAAACTTCGGAATCGAGAAGAATCATAGCATCGTCTTCGCTACAATGGAATTCTGACCCCTCACCGTAAGATTCCCATCGAACAATCAATGTCCTGACTTGTACGTGAGAACGAGCATAAACTCTTAATATCGCATGAACCAATCGCCTTCGCACTGTCCTCATTTTGACATCATCAATTTCCGGCTGCGATTTTATCCATCTCGTAACCAGATAGAACAATTTAAAATAGTTCAATGTTTCTAAATATGCAGGGTAGTCAAACATAGGCTTCCGATTGCTACACGGTAACTCATATCAATGTTCTGTCTATCTTCTTCAGTAAGATAACATTCTATCAATATATCTATTTTCCTTAAGCTTGTGAAAGGGTTTGCCCAACTCATACGAGCAATGACCGCGGCCCAAGCTTTACATACTAAAAGGCATGAACCCAAATGTTTAGAGGGTAGAGAACTGAAGACTTGACATAGAATTTCTCCAGACAGCTTCATTTCCAAAGGAGAAGTTTTCTTAGCTCCGGGTATTTATATAAAATTTTTGCATTGCGTGAACTATGTACGCTCATGTCACACCGACAATCAACACCCCGAAAAAGGAAGGATGCCATACAGTGCAGTGACCTAAGTGCAGAGTAAATACTTAATAGTCTTATAATCTCGGGACCAAACCAGAGTAATTGTCGGCGAAATGAACCTAACACGCCAAACGTTTCAGTTAGTGTTAGAAGGGGATCCGTTCATTTCCGACAATCACTTCCCCGACAATCACTTCCTCGACAATCACTTCTCCGACAATTAACTACCAAAAAAGGATAATTTCGAAATAATGTTGGTGGGGAAGAGAATGATTGTCGGAGACCGTTAAAAGTATCTCACATACGTAGAAGAGCTTGCTGACAAATCAAGAACTTATTTTCTGTCCTAGCCATTTTCCCAGAACTGATATTTCTCTTGCTTGTTTTGCCCTGTCATATAAACAAACAAAATGAATTTATTTGTAAATATCGTATATCGCTTTTCCTCTTAAAGAAACGGGTATAATCATCCAGTAGTATTTTTTAGTGTTTTGTTATTGCAAACATATTTCAATTAGGGAATTTGTAAGAATTCCTTTTGACATTCAAGTATTTCATTCGAATCAACTTTCTTAGAGCAAAAACCAAAAAGTGAAAAGTCAAACTCACTTTTGTTAATTCCAAATGCTCTCACTTAATTGGTCTTACATTTAGCATTAGTGTTGTATTAGATGCTGTAATATTTGTCAGGCTTACTGTTGCTTACGTGTGTACAATGCCGCCGGTGTTCGACCATTCGGAACAATGTGCAGATAATTCCGTCGCGAACATGTTGTGGTTGAATAACGAAGAAGGATCTTCCCGAAGATTAAGCACGCCGAGTGTGGGTGGCGTATCTGTGATCGGAGCAAGAATGATGATGCTTACTTTTGCCAACTGCAGAACATCGCTTTACAAATATTTATACGATAACAGCGAAGCTGTCGCTAAGAAGATTGTTTATGCAAAATGGTCCAGACGCACTATAACTATTGGTCTTACCATCTCCTGCATCTTTTACAATGGCTCGTGAAATAGTGTACGCGATTGTTCAGGACGGAAAAAAGTATTTCAGAAGTATGTACAGCATAACGAACAACAAAGACCTACATACAGTATCAACTTGTAGAAAACTCATAATACATTTACGAAAATTTGGGCCGAAATTGTCAAAAACAATAAATTGTTTCATATTTCTAGTGAAATAAGTTAATCACCCCATATAATTTACAAATTTATAAAGTCGTATAAATCTGTTTGATATTGCACCGCACCGAAGTAGATAGAGATGAGATCTTGTGTCTCAACGTCCTAATATCTCTCTCCATTAAAAGATTATCCACTTCCGCTAAGGAATATCTAAAAATTCCTTTGGGCTCTATTTTTCGGAATAACGGTATAAAAGTTTACTATTTTATTCTTATTACAGTGGACCCTCCCTAAGTGCAGCACCGACGGCCAAATCAGACACGACATGCATTTATAGAGAGTGGAATATTCAATGGTCTTATAACTCGGAACCACACCAGAGCCTGCATTTAGGGAGGGAAAATATAGTGCTTGCACTACGAGAAGCTGCACTTGGAGAAGCTGCACTTGGAGAGTCCACTGTACTATGCCAGGATTTTTGTTCGGAGGCAAGAGAAGTTCGTTGAACGGAGACTCAGTAAAACACTGCCAATAACAAATAATAACAATCCATTTAAAATAGAGATTAGATATTGTCCCATTTTCGTACCATTGTGTGTGCCTTAAAGGCTGATTATATAAATACACTAACTACATTTGGCGACTAAATTGTACGAATTTGTAAGCAAAATTTAGCTAATCCTGTCTGTATCACGTGATTCGAGATGTCTATTGATGCAGGGCGATAGCGTCTCAAGTTTTCTTTCAAATCACGCAGTCGGTTTAGTACATATATATTAATATGTACAAGCACTCCACACAAAAAAGACCACAAACCGCCAACTACCCATTTATCCCTCGCATCCAAATCACGCGGATAACCGATGATCTACGTATTAGTATGCCATTAAATTACCCTAAGCCTTGCATGCAAATAGCAAGAAAAACGCGATGCTCTTTTTCAACTGCATAAAAAATTTTACAGAAACTTATTCACATTAATAATAGTATGACTTATTAAATTACTCATAAATTGACGGTCATTCATTGATTTGCATACGTTTTGACCCTCGCGATATAGATTTCTATTTCTCACTAGCCTCTCCTAACCCATAACAGAAGATCCGAAATCAACGACTCTCTAAGCTTTATTCTATATAATTTACCTTGCCGCTATCGTATAAATTATTGCGGTCTACTCTTGTAAGCTTCCATTGCCTTCCGCTGCCAATAGTACTCTCAGCTTATCCTTAAACTCACAATACTCTAGATAAGCCCCTTTTAAATGTCTTTCTCCGCTGTAAGGATCAAATGCCCGTCTAGCATGTAATATTCTTCTATTAGCCATGATTACTAGTTCACCGGGGTTTAATCTTAGTTCGAATTGCAATCTAGGGTCTTCAATGCAGTCAGCAAATTGCTGGTACGCTTTGTAAAATAACATTGCTTTATCGTCGTCATCGTCGTCGTCGTCATTGTCCATGTCAGGTGCAAAGGCCTCAATAGGCCCTTGAAATGGCGGAGCATAGCTCACTGTTAATGTATTGTTGTGTAAATCTTCGACTATTGCCGGGCGATTAAAGTGTACATGATGGCCGTCGTTTACATAATGAAAAGTAAGTGGCGTCTGTTTGAGGAGTTGATAGGCATCTGGATGTCTTTGTCGCAAATTATATACCGCGGCAAGAGAGTCAGCAAAGATGCTCCGACCTCCTGTCACGGTGTTTTGCAGACAATGAAGAAATTGTAGGCCTGGTGGAGCTTCGGTGTATCTGATTTGTTGTAGACGGGAACGGGTCAAAAACAGCGTTTGCGTTACGTTTGGTAATCATAATCAAAAATACTTACAACAAGTCCATATGCAAACCCAACTCCAGATTCGTATAGGCAATATTCTTGGCACCGGGCACGGACTTTACGTCCCATGTAGGACCGTAGAATGTGTTTTTCAAAGATCCAATTCGTGTTACTATTTTTACAATCTCTTGATCTTTGGTGGGAACATTATACAGAAATGCCAGTCCATACGACCACAATTGTTTCAAAACAGCCAACAGCGTCTTGTCTGAATTCATATATTCGTGACAGTCGACCCATATATTCTTCTCTTCCATCAAAGCACCATCCCATACGACTTGGGTTGAATCATTGCGTCTTTTTGAAATTGTCGCATCCCTGGAAGAGTAATGTTTTAAGAATGAAAACTCGTATGTACTCTGGTGAGGCAACTCATCATCGCTCTGTTTCCGTAATGGTTTATCCCAAACGATTGTAATTTCATCGTCTGTCGTGGTCATTGACAATGGTTTGATGTCGAGTGGAACGTCAGCACTGGGATGGAGTTTCTGTTTGTTGTCGGGATGCATGCATTCTGAACATTGGCAATTATCTCTAAGCCAGATGTAACTGTATCGAGTCTTTATGTTGGGCCATTTGACTATTAGATTGTTTAATGATTGGTCTACTTTGATAGGTCCGTTTGATGAAATAGAAGAGGTGGTCGATAGGTTACGAATCTTTAACGAGATCAAGTCTTCTTTCCTATGAATAGCGTAAGCGATGCTGGATCTTAAACACGAGCGTGAGCAGAGGATATTGCTAAATCCCAGCTGAGATTTGACTTGACGAATGACGTTCATAACGACAGATGAAGTTAATAAATCAGATATTTGCCAATGCTATTATTGGTTGGAGTAATAAACAGTATTACCTGGAGATTCGACCTCCCATCAAGGACCAAGCAAAAAAGGTGACTGACTGTATAGAAGGTTTGCATATGGTCATGTGATTAAAATTATAGTCGACAGTTACACGATCAGGAGTGACATTTCAATGCTCTTAGTTGTATAAAGATTAACTAAGTAGCTATTGGATGTTTTAATTATTATCTCACTGCTTATGTACAAAATTGTGGTTCTCGAAAGTGTTACATAGATATGATGTAATAGGTAATAGCGTTACTATCTCTTACGGTGTATATTTGTGGCTTATAATATAATATGGGCTTTATGAGGTGCTTACCGCTCGCTGACTTTCTATTATTCGCTACGATATAATGCGTTTACCTATATTATGTTTATTATTGGCTCTGTTGTTATACAAGAATTATGACTGTACAGTCAACTGCCGATAATTCGACCGCTGGTTACAGAACATTTTTTGACATTTATTATTATTTCTATTGTAATTAA